GGCTGGCCACAAACAGGGGCTGCTCCAGCAGCAGGCCCTGTTCACAGCGGACGGGGCTGTCTGCCACGGTCAGGGGCTGCTGGACTCAGCCCAATCCAGGACCGAGCAGTCCCAGCTCACACTAGTACAGGACCCTGCATCTCTGCATTTTAAATGTAGTAAGAGTCCAGCAGCTCTTACTACATTTAAAATGCAGAAGTGCAGCACAGGCGGCTCCCAGAGCTGGCACGAGCCAGGACTTTCACAGCGGACGGGGCTGTCTGCCACGGTCAGGGGCTGCTGGACTCAGCCCAATCCAGGACCGAGCAGTCCCAGCTCACACTAGTACAGGACCCTGCATCTCTGCATTTTAAATGTAGTAAGAGTCCAGCAGCTCTTACTACATTTAAAATGCAGAAGTGCAGCACAGGCGGCTCCCAGAGCTGGCACGAGCCAGGACTGCTCAGTCCCAGCTCAAGGCGCTACCTTGAGCACTTATCGACTAATCATGTAGTCTATACAAGTTGTATCGATGACAATTAGCATTGACTACACAATTAGCCAGATAACCACAATTTAACTCCTTAAACTACTGCTCCCCAGAGCTGGGCATGCAGTTCCCGCTGCACAACAGTCGTCCCTTCTTTGGAAACCTGATCCATCACTGGCGGGGCATTTGGGGAGCTCACCCACAGCCAGAGATGGCCATGCCTGGGTGAGTGTCTGCTAAACTGGAGTGGGCAGCCTGTGCTGGTGGCGCTGGCTCAGGAGAGGGAGCTGCAGCTTTTGCTGTACTGAACAAGCATTCAGGCTCTTGAGTGCCTGGGTTAAAGAAACAGCAAGCTACCCATTCCCTCACACAGACACATACCCCCTTCAAAACACACGTGCACAGCCTCCTCCACATTTACTCCCCTCCCCCCGCCCCCATCTGGCAGTGCCTCATTTATTGCATGCTTGTGTGTGTTCATTGCCAGTACATTGAGTTAGGAGCCAAATTGCTTTGTATACTTTCAAAACAACTTTGGTTCGTTGCAGTGGCACAAGAGCCACAGGAAGAGTGATTCCCCCCACCTCTTGAAACCCAACTTTACCGATGTTTTGAATTTTCAGATTATTAGATTGAAGTTTGGTTTGACTGGAGGGGAAATATGGGCTTGGTGGACTAGGGAAAAAAGGTTGACTTAGTTTTGGTTGGTTGGTTATTTTGTTTTAAATAATTGCGTGGGGGGTAGCTTGGGGTTTTTTGCATGTACAAATGACTAATTTTAAAATAGAATGTAGTACACAACCCAGTTTAAAGTAATTTGAAATTCGTATTATATAGCCAGTGATTTTTGCATTTATTGGCTTCTTTTTTTCCCGTTTATTTCTGATCTCGTTTTTCTGTCCTGCAACATAGCTAAGCACCTCACTGTTTATTTCAACAGCCCTAGGTAACTGTGCTTCATTACCCATTGTCATAGGCCTACATTTTTTACCTTCCCTCAGTCGCATCTTATTAAAAAATAGATTAGAGCAGTTTTTTGCTCCCTATAATCTAACTTTTTTTCCCTAGCAGCTAATTTAGAACAATGGGTCATTTATCCCCACTGGTTTGGACGTCCATGCTGGAACACCACAGATCATCACCAAGCTACGAGGAATGAATTTTACATAATCCACACAAGTTCTCTCCTCCACCTATTTAAATGCCAGCCAAGTTTCAGTAATGGGTATTTTGATAACATGCACACTAGCCAGGCTATTTCACTTAATGAGCTTCCCTTATCATGCGTGGCCTTCAGATCCTTAAATCTTCCCAGACTCAATCTAAGCCTCTCCAATAGGAAAATGCTGCATCATCCTAGGTTGTCCTCTCCAGCGCCCAAACTATTCTTAATTATTAATATCTCACCACTGACAAAATAAAAGGGTTGTCCCACTGGCTGCTCATACTGACAGCAAAATGATCTACAAAATCATAGAACACTAGAACTGGAAGGGACCTCGAGAGGTCATCGAGTCCAGTCCCCTACCCTCACGGCAGGACCAAGCACCATCTAGACTATCCCTGAGAGATGTCTTTCTAACCTGCTCTTAAATATCTCCAGAGATGGAGATTCCACAACCTCCCTGGGCAATTTATTCCAGTGTTTAACCACCCTGATAGTTAGGAAGTTTTTCCTAATGTCCAACCTAAACCTCCCTTGCTGCAGTTTAAGCCCATTGCTTCTTGTCCTATCACCAGAGGCCAAGAAGAACAATTTTTCTCCCTCCTCCTTGTGACACCCTTTTAGATACCTGAAAATTAGCTACTGTGAGGGCCCTACCCATTTCGCCATCATGAAAAATGCATTAGACCATAAAATAAGCCCTTCCCTGTGAAATATGTCGTCTCCATTAAAGGAGACTTCCTACCTCCGATTGGGCAGGGGAAAGACAAGATCTGTCCCTTCCCTGCAAACGGCTCTGGAAATGGGAAGGGATGGGGGGCACCAGATCAGACCCTCTACCTCTTGGAGCTGCCTGCGGCTGCAAGAAACTTTACAGTTGGTGCCTTCAGAGTCCAGCTCTGAAGACAGCACAGCTGGCAGGACAGCACTCTCATGACCCAACCCCAGCTCCTTTTGGGTCAGGACCTCAAGGGTACAAGACTGTGACATACCAGGTTTCAACAGCTGAAAATGTGAAATTTACCAATTTTCAAATCCTACTGCAGTGAAATTGGCCATAATAGACTGTGAATTTGGTAGGGCCTTAGCTACTGTACTTAGTGCTTGAAACCTCCAAGGTAGCCCCCCCGTTCTGCTTCTTTTTCATACATAGACGGAGTCAAGGAAGAAGAGGCCGACATCAGACTGCGGGAGTTGTTGCCTTTTTCCCCTGTGGATTTCTGTCAGGCTCAGGGACCAGGTCTCATCTGAAAGAAGCATCTCCCGGAGAGACCCTCCTTACTAGTTTCAGAAGCAGTGATGATTGCTCTAAACCACCCCAAGCCATCTGTGAATGCAATCCCCTCCCTGCCTATCAAAGAGAAGCTCCCAGGCCTCTTACCCCACTGCCTTGCTTGATCCAGTAGCTCAGCCACCAGTTGCTGAACGCTGTGCTGCCCACATTCAGCACAAAGAGAGCCAGGATGATCAGGAACGCAAAGGGGCCTCCAGCTGCCTGGATATAAATACCATACACAGACCATGGGACAGAGCCTTTGCCCTTCTCTTCCAACTGTATCAGCTGACCTAAGAAATAAAAAAAGAGCAAAAAAAGGATGAGAAGAGCTGCTCCATAAAACTTCAAACGTTAAGAAAATAATTGCATCAGGAGCTGGTGTCAACACAGCCCCATCAGAGGAACACTCACTGAATTGCAGCGAGTCCCCAAACTGTGGGGCAGGCCTGCCCCAGCTTTGCATCCAGCCCTGGCCCCAGCCCCAGGAGAGGCACGGACAGATTCCATTGCAGGTAAGCGAGGCACCCCAAAGTTTGTACAGCGATGTTCTGCGAATGCAGCCAGTTGTCACTGTGCACACAGAACTCCAGGATTCAGGCAATAAAAGAAAACCACGGAAGACATTCCAATGGCAGAGTCATGAACAGCCTGGAAAGTATGTGAGAGCTCCCACATGCGATTGGTGCCAAAAATCAGTATCTTTGGATCCCTACCAATTTATGTTCACAAAGCTCTGGTGGGAAAGATCAGACCTTTCCATTCTTCATATACCAATGCTAGGTCCTCCCCAGAATTCAGCATGCCATCAGGTTAATGCAAATACCCCCCTCGCAATCACAGGGAAGAGACATGGGAGCTAGGGCTGCTGATAGCTGAAGCCAGCACATGTCCAGGATAATTAAATCTTAGCACGCCAACTTCTTTAAATTGGAATAGCGCTGAGCAGACCAGCTCGTATTTCTAACTAGAAGATTTAACTGGCCTTGCTCAGGTCCTTAACTCAATTTTTGTTTTTCTTTATTTAAATCATTGCTTGCGGGTAGGGCTTGGGATGAGGGGTTCACTATGCATGCTGTCATGGGGAGAAAGGACTATCCCAGCTCTCTCACTGCAGCAGCTTGGGTCCAGGTGAGAAGTGCCTGACCAGGGCTGCTGTAGCTGACAGCAGGGGAAAGGGTGCGTGTCCCCCAACTGGGGGAACACACACGACAGACGGACCCAGCCAGGCTCAAGTATAACATTCATAGCGATCCCTTTCTCCACCCCTGCCCACTGCTGTTTCAATGAGGTTAGAGCTGTCCTGGTCCCCATTTCTGGTCCCTTGCAGACACATGCCCCCCCCCCCACCATGGTCATTATATAGCATAACTTGCCCTGCTCTCCATTCCATATCCCCAATTGCTCTCATGTGGTCATTATATAGCAACCCCCTCCTTTTCTGTTTTATGAGAAACAATCCCATTGTCCTTGCACATCCCACGGTCCTGGCACATCCAAACCCTGACCTTGGGTTATGGCTTTAAGTAATGAAAGGAGGAAGCTGCCCACCACATGTGGCGGTCCCAGCTCTTACCGTTTAGGAGGAGTTCTTGATGAACAGACAGAAAAACAGAGAGGCAGACAAACTCTCTCAAATATACAGTAGATACTGTACCAATGCACTGGCCTATGTGCTAGCAGCAAGCTGAGGGTCAGCTTTCAGAACTCAAAGCTCCAGAGAGGAAACATTTCAGAATCACTAACGTAGGCTATGATTAAAGTCAGAAAGTCAATTGCACAGTTACCTTCCTCCTTTTTCACCACTTTCTCCTTCTTCACAGACCCTGCTTTGGTGCTTTTATCCTGGGGTCTCTTTAATGAACTGCTCGTGTTCTTCTTTAGATTATTCTGTAAGAGGAAAAAAGCTACACTGAAAACTACGTCGAGAACTGTTGCTTTAGTATGTACCATTGAAAACATAAGCACAGCCATACTGGGTTGATTTGGTTAGGATGGGTCCTGCCTTGGGCAGGCGGCTGTACTTGATGACCTCCTGAGGTCTCTTGAACTGTATAATTCTAAGCCAAAGGTCCATCTAGCCCAGTATCCTGTCTGCTGACAGTGGCCAATGCCAAATACCCCAGAGGGACAGAACAAAACAGGTAGTCCTCACATGACCCCTCTCCTGTCACCCACCTCAATACAAACAGAGGCAAAGGACACCATTCCTATCCATCCTGGCTAATAGCCATAGATGGACCTAACCTCCATGAATCTATCTAGCTCTTTTCTGAACATTGTTAAACTCCGAGTCTTCACCACATCCTCTGGCAAGGAGTTCCACAGGTTGACAGTGCACTGAGTGAAGAAAAAACATTATGGCTGAATCTGCAGCTCTCTGTTTTATGTGGGCTACATTGACATAACATATATATTACTCTGTGGATGTCACATGGGCCACAGCTGTGTCCTGATTTGGGATGTGAATGGTTAACTGGTAAGCTTTAACAGGAGAGGCTTACCAGTTCTGGTTAACCAGTTGGGGCTGGAGGGGGAGGGTGTCCACGATGGGAAGGTTGCTCCTGCCCGCCACCTCCCCCTTTAATCGGTTAACCAGTTCCCTAATCCTGACTCTGCCACATGCTGAAAACCACTGCACTAGAGCCATCTATTTTTTCAGACCAATAATGAGATCAGAACCACCAATATTCACAATTCCTTTTTCAAACACATGCTTTCCAAGGAGGACAAAGGCTTCCAGTAGCTTAGAGCACAGACCCAGAGAGGACATTCATTGGAAAGAACACTTGTCCATCACCTCTATACATGAATAAGTAAGTGCTCCCCTCCTATTGGCCTGGGCTGCTATTTGTACCTTGGTCATGTCCCAAGGACCCCACCCCAATCGGGATCAGAGTTGGGATGTAACCAGTTCACCCACAGCTGGCCCTGCCCAACTCAAGCAGCCACCTGTCCATGCCATGGGCAGGAAGTGGGGGGTCGCTGCAGTCCTGCCTGCCATGCCACGCCACAGGTGGGGGCCACTCCAGCCCAGGCACCCTGCCTGCTGGATTGAATTAAATGCAACATTTAACTGATTCGATGGGATTCTACATCCCTAATGCACATGGGAGGATGTGATCCCTGTCCCAAAGAGTCTACAATCTAATTGAGACATCTCTCTCAGAAACTTCCCCAAGCTCCAAGTAGGTATAGTCATCGTCGATAGTCTCTTCCAGATACAGAGCTGCTCCCAAGACGGCCTAAGCAGCACTACAGAGCAAAATGAGATCCATACATCCCCAGACACTGAGGCACACACACAGAGAGTTAACCAGGGTCATTCTCCCAAATACGGAAGCTACATTCTGTTCCGGGACTGAAGAATTCAATTTTCAGCTCAGCCTCACTGAAACTTACACGTCTTCAGGACCACCTTCCCAGCCTGCATGCTACATATCCACTGCCCATTCCATGCGCTGGTGCTTATGGCGAGGAAGTTGAGTCCAGCCAAGCAAGCAAGCTGGAGAATCTCACATTAACCATGATCACTTCAATTTCTAAATGACAGCACCACAATCTTCACAGCACTGAGGAAGGTCACATGAGGTAACGGATTACATTCCTCTGCCTCTACCATCAGCACTGTCAAGCAGAAAATCCTATCAAGCCCCTCCTATCACTAAACCTATCTCCAGCCACATCACAATTCCATCTCAGCAGGATGTCTCAAGTCTGATGTTTGTAAGAGGCATGTATTCAATCCATGAAGCAATCGGCCTCTTGATAAATACAACAGATTATTTTTCTAATCTAATTCAATTAAGATAAGGGTATTGATTTCGGTTAAAAATTCAGAACATTCAGATAACGCTTCCCAATAAAAAGTAAGAACACTGCCAACTCCCAGGCATGGCTGTTGAGGAAAATACTGTGGTACAGTGGGTGAGAAAGGTAAATGGCTAGAACTGTTAACACTGTAGAGACAAACGCCATCTCCCATTCAACAGTTCCCTGTTACACAGCTTGAAACCTTTTCTGCAATTGCATCAAGGGTGGCCCCTTGACTCAAGTAGAGCACACAAATCCAGCTGCATTTATGGCAACTTCTCCTCAGCAGTCCCCAGTAGCATTTTTTGGTGCCATTTTCAATCAGAGGAAGATATGTCTGGAGTGAAATTCCAGCCTTCTGCTGAATAGGACTTTTGGACAAGTCATGTTACTTCTGTTGTGTCTCAGTCCTCTCAGGCTGGAAAAATGGGTCAGAAGCCAGAAAGAAATATCTTAAACTTAAGAACTGGAGTAAGTTGAGCTAACTTAGGAAGACGCCTTCTAAAAACGAAGTGCACAGTAAGCAAGGGGATAGGCAAACTCCTTTCTGAACCACAGCGTAAACTGGTGCCTTACTTCCACATTAGATAAACTAGTTCAGGGACAGGATTGCAATAAGAGATCTCATCTCTAGAACAGGGACCACGATACTATTTATTACAAAGTGCCAATCCAACAGAAAATGACCTGCAGGAGACTGACCTGCCAAATCAACAAACCAAGTCATTTTCCTGCCCTCTTTCAAGTGACTAAGCACAGGCCCCTGTCATGCTATTTAAAAAATGGAGTGGAGTGGAGTACCTCAATATGTGGTGGTTCTCCCAGCTGCAGGCTATTAAAAATGGCTGCATAGTCTCCATTTAAGTTCATCAGTTCCTCATGGCTTCCTCTTTCGGTGATACAGCCTTCTTTCATGAAGATTACTTCATCACAATCAACAAGGTACTGGAGACAAAGATAGAGAGAACATGGCTTCATTACCTCAGATTGTCAAAAAACAAACCCACACATTCTTTTCAGTATTCTATTCAGCCAGCCTCTTAACAGTACACACTGGACTGGTAAGAACCCTGCACTAAAACTAGAGCACTGCAGTTATGTCCACCATACATACAAAACACAGCTTAAGTGACTGAACAGAGACTTTCTGCACAACGTTGGGGAGATGCATTCAGGGTGCCTGAACGCTACAAGTTGTGACATACCAGTTACAATGGTGTTTTCTGAGCAGAAAAGGTGACAAGAACCCAGTCTCAAGAGTACAATTTATTTACAACACTCAGCTGGATTCACAGATATCATGAATACACGGCTGTATATCCCCATGTATTCTATAATGATAAACAGGCTTTATACACTTCAGTATTCAGGTTAGTAGAAAAGTTGCTTTCAAGCAGGTCGCCCCTCTCCCAGACTCATCTTCAGCCAAGCATTTCCAGCTCCTATTAGCCCCCTATCAAGCAGCACCACCTATTTATCTCTCTGCCAATGCTCTGTGTACAACACACAAATAAAAATTTACACCTTCTCCCTGAGGCTGCACAGTTTAACAGACCAGAGCACAGGAATACAAAGTAAAAGGCCAAAGTGACTAACCAAAAAGCTTTCTAACTGAACAATTAGAGGAGATCCAAGAAAGGAACCATAGAGGATACTGTACCTGAAGCTGATGAGTGATGAACAGGACCGTTTTTGACTTCAGATGCTTCCTTATTGCACTGTTAAAAATGTGGTTTCCCACATGTGCATCTAAGGCACTAAGAGGATCATCGAGGATATAAATATTCTTGTCACTGTACAGGGCTCGAGCAAGACTGATCCTCTGCCGCTGGCCTCCACTCAGGTTAGCCCCTCTTTCACCAATCTATATTATATGCACAAAGTTATTACATTTGGAAACATTTACCACAAGACCCGAGGCCAAATTCACCCCTGGTGTAACTAATACAGTAAATGGAATTAACTAATACAGCTGTGCTCTAGCACACTAATAAAGCTGTTCATCTTTAAAGAGCTACCAGACTCGTTAGTCTGTTTCAGCAAAAACAACAACATGGCTACCTCTCTGAAACAGTTAATGGAGTAATAGTGAATGGGTCACACTAAGATGTAGGGGACTTATTTGTTGCAAAAGGAAACTTAAAGTGAACATTTCTAACACTAACATGCTTGAAACATTCCTATTAAATAGGTAGGAGACTATGGTGTTTTATTAATTATTTATCATCCAAGTTTTAAAAGGTCTCGTTCTAAGGAAACAAATTCCCAGCACAGTGAAAAATTCCCACACTGCCAACACTGCTAAGTTAAAAAACATGGAGTAGTCAGTCTCCATACTGTCCAGGATCTAGAATTGTATGTTTCACATGGAGCAAGAAGAGGATTTGCCCATCCATTTAAAAGCTTATCGGTCTGATGACCCAACCACAATACAGCATGCCAGGCTAACATTTTACTCTACCATCCCAATCACTATTTTATCACCCCCAGGAGTTTCACCTCAGTCAGATCCCCGTTAGGTAGGATGGCTAGGTCTGGTCTCAAACAGCAGCCATTCAGCACAGTGTTGTATCTAAAGAATACAGACAAGACAAGCAGTGAGCACTGGAACTTATGAGGGTACCTTACTAATGGAGCATTATTTTTATTCCCAACACAAACACCAGACAATCTTGCGACTTTGAACAATTAAGAAACAATTAAGCGTATGCTCGAATACATCTGTTAGTCTATAAGGTGCTACAGGACTCCTTGTCGCTAATTAAGAAACAGTCATTCACTTTCTCATAACTATTGTTCTTCGAGATGTGGTGTTCATGTGCATTCTAATCAGGTGTGTGCGCACATGTACACAGTAGCCGGGAAATCAATTCTCTCCTCCCCCACACCTGGAGCAGCAAGCCATTTTGAGCAACTTGGGACTATGGAAGGCAGGGAGTCTGACACAAGAACCTGCAGGCCAGGAGCTGCCTAGGTAAATGTCTCCCAGCCAAGAAGAACTATTGATCTGCCTCATGAGTAAATAACGGATAATACTTTGGGATCAATTTCAGAAGCACTAGGAGAAGCACAGTGAAGAGAAGCCAAATTCACTTGAGAGGCTATGCAAGCACAGACTCTGGGAAGATCCCTGAGGTGGAAAGTTATGTGGCCTTCCCCACATTCAAAGAGACCATTAAAGCATGAGCAGATGTTGCTTTGGTAGGAAGAGAGCATGGCTAAGGAAGCCACAGAATGTACCAATCCAGCATCTCGCCACAGCAACAGCTACCAGGAGACCTCAGTGTTTTAGAGGAAGTTAAACTGCCATCCTAGAGAGGATGGGTATAGAAACACCAGCTGGCATCTGTCATAATGAACTTCCCCCTCTGCTGCAGGTGTCTTGGGCAGGGAGGTGTAAGTCCCCCCAGCACCAGTTTTCCTGATGCTGGCCTGAGAATCCCTAAGCTTGCAGAACCAGCCAAGTGTTCTACTTGACAAACCTTTCTTCATCAAAGTCCTTCCCAAAAAGGATGTTGTCTCTCAGTGTAGCATTGAGAATCCAGGCCTGCTGGGGTACGTAAGCAAAAGTCCCATTCACTGCAATGCTACCCTCCAGCAGGGTCATCTAGAAGACAAGACAGAAGGTACTGAAATTATACTGCTCCAGGAGCATGTGTGTGAATCCCTCTGCATCGAACAAGAAAAAAGAGCAGAACCTGCACAGAATGCAACTCAAAGATCCAGTGTGTGTTTGTTTTTGAAGGTGCCACATAAAATGCCATATGTTTATTCTGAACTTCTTGGGAGCTTGAATTTCAAATACTGCACATACATGGATTGATTGCCACAAGGGCTCAGGGCCCAGTAAGGCACCTAAATGAAGTAGCTAGATCTTCCAAATGGTTCAGCGCTTGCAATTCCCAAGGAAAGCAGAAGAAGCTGTTCTTGTGAAAATCTGTTGAACAACCCAGAAAGCTTTCATCTTATGGATTATAGACATTTTAAGACTCTAACCTAAATGTTATCTGTTTGATCAGTGTACAATTGGAACTATAGGTCAGATCAATCAAATGGAGTGAGACGAATTAAACAGCTGAAGATCCCAGCAAAGAAAAAAAGGGAGAAACCATAAAAATATACATTCTTACGTGTCCTAAAATGGCTGATATAATGGAGGTTTTTCCACTCCCCACACTGCCGCAAATCCCAACAAGTTTCCCCTAAAACAGAAAAAAAATATGAGTTTTGGTAACACATTACTCAACCCACCTAGACAATCTGCAGTACCTCAAACAGAGAAAAGGGATTGATCACTAAAGCTAATGGAAATGGGTATATTAGATGAGAGGAAGGCTAGACCTGGTCAATCTCTCATACTAATTGGTGAATACTTTCCATCAGCAAACAAAACTTGAGTGAATATGAAAGGCAGATGCCCTGAGCCACTAAGCTTTCCTCTGTGTGCAGACAGATAACCAGTTCCTCGCCATAGGACTCTGATACAACCAAATGTAAAATGCTGAATTCACCACAATACCAGAAAGATATTGCTTGACTGAACAGAGTCCTGACAGGCTGCCTGATCCAAAGAGAGTCTTTCCGCTAACTTCAGTGAGTGTTGGATCAGTCCTAAAATGACCAAAAGGGTTGAAGGAACTGACTTACAAGGAAAAATTAACTTAGCCAAACTTTTACAAAGAGACAACTAAGTGGGAGGGGAGGAAAAAAATAACACTCTCTTAATATGGTACCAGTTCACTGAAGAGTGAATACAGATGTTCAATGCAATACATAAATCAGGAATCCTGGAAGAAGAGAGATTTAAGCGATCAAGTAGATACCTTCCTGATCTTGAGAGAGATTTGGTTTAGAAACAGCCTCTCTAGGAAGAGCTTGGAAGCTTATCATTTAGAATTTTCAACAATAGACTGGAAAACACACTCGGAAATGGGCAGTAGGGAGCCATTTTACCTTGGCTCCAAATTGGAAAAAGGATGGGATCCGAGAAATCTTTCTAACTGCCAGCTCTAAGCATTAGTCGTATATGAGTCCTAATCAACAGTTTAAAAGTGCTGAATGGTGTTTATCAAGGAAAGTCCTTCTGACACCTACATCAAATGCCCAATGAATGTGTCAGAATTACTCTGATTACCAGAGAACAAAAACCCATTTATTAAATGCACTCTGGATTCATATTGATTTTTTTTGTTCAACATTATTGTGAACAAAAATGTATTCAACATTTTACCCATCTTCAAGTGGAACCTCCGGTGCTCAGAGCATCTGTAAGTTCCTCTGTAACCTTCTACTGCAGTACAACAGGGGACTAAATGCGTTTCAGCGAAACACCTGTGCTATGCTAAACCACAGCATTCCATTCTTTCCCATGCACAAGTCCTTCAGTTTAAGTGAGCACCTGCAAAGTTACAGACAACTTAAGAAAATAACTTTTGTGCTGAAGACCCTTGCGGCCATGTTAAGTTCTCTGCATATGTAATGGCTCGCTCATGACCAACACCATGCTGAAAACAAAACCTTTACTGAGCCCATGGCAGGAATGACAGAGCCCAGCATTCTACAATGTTGTCTCTAGCAACTAAGGGGACCAGTTTGCAATGATCCAGGTTGATAAAAGTGGCACAACTGCTTGGATCAAGTTGGAGCGTTACAGACTAGAATTTACTGTTGCCACAGGCTGCACCAGAATGTTAGAAAGATATCGCAACGCTAATCTGCTCCATTTAATGGAAATTAAGCACTGCCCTTCCCACAGGAGTGCCAGGCAAGGGGGGGGAGGGGGGGCTCTTGCAAATATGCTATAGACTTTCCTCCTCACCTTTTCAATCTCCAGGTCGATATTGTACAGGGTTCTCTGAAGCCGAAAGTTAACCAGATGGATATTCTTGTTCTCTTCCTCAGGGCTAGGATGGTCATCACTGTCCACCAGAAGATGTCCCTTCTGCTCAGCCAGCATTGCTTGTGGTCCCTCATGTTGTAGCTTCATTTTCTCTTTCTTGCCCTTGGTGACCTTCTTGTCTCTTTTCATTTTAGGGGTCAGCTTTGGTGAGCTCTGGACACTGGCGTGGGAGAAGTCCCAAGCCAAGGTAGCATTTTTCACCTCTATCGCGATGTGAGGACTGGATGGTTTTTTCTTTACCATATGAACCTCTTCCATTAGAAACAAACTCTGATAGGAGTTGTGAGAGAGGTGTAAAGATGAGACATCTGGTCAAGACTGGGGGACAAGGCTATGGCACACTCACGCAGCAAAACACATCAGGCTATACAGTGGGAGGAAGCTGAAGAGCAAAAGGTAGCTCATTAGTGTAAACTAACTCCAGGCCTGCTGAAGGGCCTGCGCATTCCTGAATGTGGTGGAAGCTTTCAATACAGTAAAACTTTGGCAGAATTATTGTATTTGGGTCACTGATTTGTATGCGGGGGAAGGGAGAGGAGTGAGAAGGGAGGTTAGTGCTTTTAAAGGTATTTGCAGTTACTTGCCTTATATTTTGAGATGAAAGGCATGATAGAGGGCATAAAAATGAAGGAGAAGTGCTCACATGGACACCAACTCCTTACAGGCGTTCCCCATAACTAGAGGGGATGGGGTGGCTTATTTTACCCACTTGCTGAAGAGGTACACTTTCTGCTGGAAAAATTCATCTGAGACAAAGTTAGCCCATTTGTGAAGGCTTGGGAATGTGTAGCAGTAATAACTAACGATACGTCCACTGTATAGTTTTCCACCACATCCATCACTACAATAATAGATTCTGTAGAGATTCGTCAGCACAGTTCAGTTACCAAACCCACATGATAAACAAATAGCTTTCAATTAGATAGAACTGCATTTTGAACCGAACAGGCTCTTTTTAATTATGGCCATTTTAACATGATTCACGCTACTACTCATGAGTCACCCCTCTGAATCATGCACCTGCAAGAAAACCTCAAACATATTAGAAAGCCAAGCAGTCAGCTACATCTGTATTTGTAGGTAATACTACAGCCAGCGTGTCACCCTCTCTGCCCATCTGTCAGTGCAGGAGCATCAAAGATCTTGAGTGGTATGACCTCATTCCCTCCCTCATCACAAAGAGACACTCCCTTTGGTATTTTTGAATTTAAGACAGCCTGATTTTAGGGTGATTCAAAATGAGGTTCAAATGAAGAAAGTGCCTCACAAGCCTTTGGATTTCCCAAGTATTCCAGTGTAGATTGCACTGTCTGATTGTACTTATGAACAGGCTTCTTTCATGCCCTTTAATACATGACATCCATCTAACAGACATCACAGTATGCAGATTTTGGGGTACACCATCTTGTATGGAAAAGTCAGCGAGATATTAAAAGCCTAGAACTGTGTAACCATCTAAGAAATCAAACAGATCTGTCTTATCCAGGGAGCCTGCACTGGAGAGAGCACACACGAGATTGAGGGAGGAGTATTTCTGTGATCTGAACTGAAAGTCTACTGCCTTAGATTTAGTTTAGACAGATTACAAGGTTCTATTTTATTCCCATAATTCTTCATGCCACATGTATATAGATCTATCTATCTAAGCAACCACCACTTTGGGTTAGGCATTTTCCTCATGGCAATTAGTATTAAAGTGCAGAGAAACCTGAGGCTTTGTCCCTGACAACTACATGTCTCTACTATACATTTGAAAGAGTTTGTCTGCCTATCCACCTGTTCAAGAACTCCTCCTAAATGGCAAAAGCTAAGACCACCACATTTGGTATGCAGCTTCCTCTTATAACTTGGAGCAAGGTAAGGATTTGGTTGTGCCAGGAAAATGAGATGAGCCTGGTATGGGATCGGTTCTCATAATGGAAAGGGAGGACTGTGCTATATAATGACCACTTGAGGGCAGCAGGGATATGGGATGAGAAGCAGGGACAGTTATACTGTATAATGACAACAGGGGGCAGCAAGAGGCCAGAGATAGGGACCGAGACAGCTATAAGCCATTGGGATAGCAGGGACCCGGGGTAGAGAAAGGGACAGCTATCTACTTTTAAGTGTGTCTGTCTGTCCCTCAGCTTTGCCTGCTGGAGCTTCAGCAGACACAGAGAAGCACTTCTCACCTGGCCCCAACCTTATGTGATGAGAAAAGAATAGGGTAGTCCTCTCTCCCTGGGACAGCCTGCATAATGAACCCCTCGTCTCCAGCCCAGAGCAATGATTGCAATGAAGAAAAACAAAAATTAAGAACCTAAGCAACACCCCATATCATCTAGTACTTCATATGCAAGGAAAGAGAAAGTCGCTACTCTCTCCTATTCCATTCCCACTCCACATACACACACTATCTTTAGATCCATTATGCTCTTCTCTCTAGCTGCAAACCTTTACTAATAACAAAGGTTTAGATTAGAACAACACCAGTACATGTCTAATTTGCTTAGGTGGGTACTGTATGGCCAAAAAACCAATGCCATGGAGAGCTACACGTATCATGGGACAGATGGGTGACAGGGCCACCAATAACTGACAGATGTTAGGATGACACACTCCCTTATTCTTCATTACAGGCTTTCTTGTACTTTCCTCTGTAGCGCTTGCTATTGGTTACTGTTGGTGACAGGATACTATTCAGACAGGCAGGGGGCTGCTCCAGCCCAACCGTGGACAGGGGCTGCTCCTGTGTCCAGAGCAGCCTCCCTCCCTGGGGACCCCGAGCATCCCGCAGGAAGGAGCTGCTCCAGTGATGGCTAGGAGCCAGTGACAGTCTCTGCCCCAGAGTGGGGCTAGCACCCAGCTCCTCCATGCTGTTGCGGGCAACTTCAACCAGGCTGGAGGGGTCCACAGCTTGGATCCCACTTTAGTCAGTTACCCAGTTAAACCTCACAATTAAACCAGAATTTTACTTCCCTAGTATATAGGCCCAGATATTTTAGTTTGGGCCCAGTCTCAAGGAGCAGAGAAAGAAGTGATCAAAGGACTTTAAATCATTTAAAAACCAAGGCAGTAAAATCCAAAAGTGATCCTAGTGACAGACACAGATATGCTCACTAAAGACTTACCCCTTGGACGTTAAGATGACTCTTCAGATGCTCTAATGGAATAGAATGTCAATACCTCAAACTTTTTTTTAAAATGACAAATAAAAATGTATCCCCAGTTCTTGGAAAGTCCCTCTGCACCAGTAACACAAGCAGGGCTTCACTGAGGAAATATACGGCTGAGTTCTAGAGATAATCCGTTCTCCTCTATGAGGCTGCTCTTAAGAGATAGCATAGGAACAGCTGTACTAGATAAGATGCATGGTCCACCTAGTCCAGTATCTTGTTTCCAACAGTGTCTAGCACCAGTGCTTCACAGGAAGATGCAAGAAATCCTGCCGTCATCAGATGCAAGATGGCCTGCTCCCCTGGATAGTCTCATCTTAACTCTTAACAGGATGAGATTGGCTTAAATCCCGAGTATGAAGTTTTATATCCTTTCTGCAGGGGGTAAGAAATACACAATACCACAGAACAACTTCCAGCCCACTCCAAAATAGCCTTGGCATTAAAATCGTTTCATAGCATAGTCAACTGCATTCATGTACTGTAAGAGATGCTCCACACTTAAGGATAAAAGTATATAGCCAAAAGACCACTCACCTTAAATCGGTCAGCAGACACCGACGCCTCTGATAGAGACTTCACAGAAAAAGGTGTTACTTTGAGAGCAAAAGTCATTGAATTGAAGACTGTGACCACTGTGAAAGCCTAACACAGGACAGACAAAATAAAACTGTTTGGCTGTAGCATCCACTAACAATTCCAAGTCACCAACAATTAAGGCCCATCAACAGTAACAATTTAAGGCCATTCCATTGGGGAAGGAAAGATACACAATTCAAGAGCCATTTAAATACAACATACCTAACCTGCGCTCCACATGCAAATACGTATCCCCTAGTCCTCCACTCAAGATCCCACACCACCTCCCTAGCTTTAGAGAACTGGTTGTCCAGCCACTCCCAGGTGGGCAGAGGAGGTGGGACTTGAACCCGCCACCAGGAAAAGGTAAGGTCCTCACCTCACAGTGTTTTAGAATGGAGAGATTTATCCTAGTTGTTTACAGTTCCATAGGAAATGGCACAAACAGAAGAACTAGAGAGTGCTGAAGGTCACAGTTTTAGCCTCTCACATCTAGAGATCTTCAAATTCTGCCTTACGTCCCAAAGGAAGATAAATTGGTCTCCTACAACCAGCAGCACAACTTCAGCAAAAAAGTCTAGTGTCTCAGTCTTCTTTTTGCAGAAGCCTGTTTCCCCCCTCCAAGAGAACGCAGGTGCAAATCATGCCTGCACAACAAAGATACTGGTCTCCTTCCCAAATGAAAATTTGGCCTGGACTTAACAGCACTGGGCAACCTGTGCATGGGAAGGTTGTACAACACCTGTCTTTACTCTGTGCCATCCATCATATGCTCTCTTCCGGGGGCCCAGCCAAAACTCAAGAGATCTGGAGTATTTTGAACTGCGCCCACTTAAGAATACAAAAGATTAAGCAAGGAAGTTTAAAGCAAGGAAAGCTACTGCAGGAGTGATACTATAAAATAACATCCCCAACTCTGTGATGAGCCAATTACCTGAGCTGCTGTGAGATCATAACCAAGGATCATATGGACAGAGAATGTCACCACACTGGCAATAACCACAACAATGGGAGCCACTCCCACCGTGATACTCTGGAAGTAGCCTGCACGCTCTAAGATTTTACGTTCTTCCTCTCGGATTTCTAGAAATGCAAAAAACCAAAAACCCAGCACATCTGAGGAACAATTCAGACAGATATAAATGCAGCAGGTATAATCAATGCATTGGGAACAGTATGGCTGTGTCTAGACTGGCAAGTTTTTCCGCAAAATCACCTGATTTTGCGGAAAAACTTGCTAGCTATTTCCACAAGAACACTGACGATCTCATGTAAGATCGTCAGTGTTCTTGCGGAAATACTGTGCTGCTCCCATTCGGGCAAAAGCCCTCTTGTGCAAATCATTTGCGCAAGAGAGCCAGTGTAAACAGCACAGTATTGTTTTCCGCAAAAAACTCTGATCGCGAAAATGGCGATCGGGGCTTTTTTGTGGAAAACTGCATCTAGATTGGCCACGGACGCTTTTCCGCAAAAAGTGCTTTTGCGGAAAAGCATCCTGCCAATCTAGACGTGCTTTTCCCAGTTAAAAGCATTTCCGGAAAATCATGCCAGTGTAGACGTAGCCTATGAGTAAGAGAGAACTCCTTCCGCTTCAGCATTACTCATGTTCTAGAAAGTGCTTCCTTTACAGAGGGACGAAGTGGAAACATAGCTCAGTGAGGCTGGAATTTGGATCACTCTTATTACATTTCAAAACTGACCAATTTGTACTAGGTCAGTCAAAATTAGTGCACATAGTAGAAGCCAGCCCAACATTAATAAAGCACTTTACACCCAAGCATTAAAGAGAACCCACAAACAGCAAGGTGAGACGTTGGAACAGAGAGCGCCATGTCAGCCCATTGTTAACAAAAATGAAAGGACATCTGAGGGAGGGATGACACATGCAGGAGCAGCTACTGAAATGAGCTGGGAGAGCCCATGAGGATGGGGCTGGGTGATGTGTTTACAGAGTGTCTATACTTACTTTGAACATTCTGAGAGAATGCTTTGACCCAGGCATACATTTTAATGAATTTAATATAGTTAAGAACTTCATTCATCTTCTGCACACGCTCATCAGTCACCGACACACATTTTCTTCTGAAATAAGCTGTGAGCCGTGATACAAACATCTGAAACAAGGAGAGACACATCTTAGCAGCAACTCAAAAATGGCAAATGCATCTAATTCCCCTAACTAGACGAAAGCAAGTAGACTGACAAAAAGACATCAGTAATAGGGATGTGCACAACTAGTCACTTCCACCCCCCCTGTTGCCTCTATAAAAGGCAGCAAGGGGAAGGGGGGGGAGGGGGAGAGAGAACGCAGGGAGTGCTTCAAAGTGGTAGCACCGTGTGGAGCCCGGGACCAGGCCCTGAGCTCCACGCAGTGCTGCTGCTTTGAAACGCCATGTGCAGCCGGGCCAGGCTGCCCGCAACGTTTCAAAGCGGCAACGCCGCATGGAGCTCGGGGTCAGCTGGGAACCCTGCATGGAGCCCAGGGTCAGCAGCGCTGCCGCTCTCAAATGCTGCGGGCAGTGCCAGGCCAGTGGGGGACTGCTTGAGTCTCCCACTGGCCCCGTTCTCCCCGCAGCACTTTCGCCTCTGAAGTGCAGCAACAGCCCTGGGGGGTTACTTTAAAGATGGAGGCGCCCTTATTGACTAATTGGACAGTCAATGCAAATTGCATCGACTATTTGATTAGCCCATTAATCTAAATTTAACATCCTGTGATAGGGCCCCTGCCCTGCACTGGCCCTTTAGGGGCAAAACTCAGGCCCAGAGCAGGGGCTGAAAGCAAAGACTCAGCTGAGGCCATTAAGGCTAATGAGAGCCCAGCTGGGGGCTATATAAAGAAGTACAGTTTGCTTCAGAGAGGGGAGAGCAGTGAAGAGCTGGCAATGGAGGAAGTTCCCAGGAAGGAGAACAGTATTGGGGCAGCCAGGAAGGGCTAGCGGAGTGTCGGCTAACGTGCTCCGTGGCTGTAGGGCCTGGGGCAAGGCCCGGGGCTTGGAGGGTGGTAGCAACGCAGCCCAGGTAAGCGGGGCAGCAGAGATACATCTGGTGCCGGTGATGAGCGGCCCGTACAGACTGCAGCTTGCCCTGAGATAGGCTAGATGAAGACAGTCGGTGGGTAACTGAGGCACGGTGGGGAGTACGCACCCTAACACATCCCTAATCCATAAGAGGACAAAGGTTCAAAAAAGAGCTAGATAAATTCACGGAGGACAGGTCCATAAGAATGGTGTCCCTAGCCTCTGCTTGTCAGAATCTGGGAATGGGCGACAGAGGGTGGAGCACTTGATGATTCTCTGTTCTGTTCATTCCCTCAGGGGCACCTGGCACTGGCCACTGTTGGAAGACAGGACACTGGACTTAATAACTAACTAACACCATCCTTGACAAAAGTGATGAGCTGGAAATGCCCTTTCAGAGCATCCCACTCCATTCAGCAAGCAAAAAATGCACTGAACGCTAGGCTCTCTCTAGTTTTATACTCAAACAAGTTAGCTTTATTCAAATTTCCGAAAGGCTGTCAGTGCTTTTACTAATATTTAACAGAACAAGATTTCTTTAACATCCCTCAAGTACAAATACAGACTAACCACAACTAAAAAACTCTTGCATCAGAAGAATACAAGGTACCTAACACATCTACATCCCATACTCCTCAACTCATTCCCTTCCGGGCCAAGAACAGAAGAACGTAACATAGGAACGGCCTTAGGTCCATCCAGCCCAGCGTCCTGTCTGCCGACAGTGCCAATATCAAGTGCCCTAGAGAGAGTGAACCAAACAGGGAATGATCAAGCCATCGCCTCTCCTGCCATCCATCTCCACCCTCTGAAACAGAGACTAGGGACACCATTCTTTACCCATCCTGGCTAACAGCCACTAAGGGACTTAACCTCTACGAATTGATCTAGTTCTCTTTTAAACCCTGTTATAAACCTAGCCTTCACAACCTCCTCAAGCAAGGAGTTCCACAGGTTGACTGTGTGCTGTGTGAAGAACTTTCTTTTATTTGTTTTAAACCTGCTGCCCATTAATTTCATTGTGGCCCCTAGTTCTTATATTATGGGAACAAGTAAATAACTTTTCCCTATTCACTTTCTCCACAACACTCATGATTTTATAGACCTCTATCATATCCCCCCTTAGTCTCCTCTTTTCCAAGCTGAGAAGTCCTACTCTCTTTAATTTCTCCTCCTATGGGACCCGTTCCAAACCCCTAATCATTTTAGCTGCCCTTTTCTGAACTTTTTCTAATGCCAGGAGACCACATCTGTACACAGTATTCAAGATGTGGGTGTGCCATGGATTTATATAAGGGCAATAAAATATTCTCCAACATATTCTCTATCCCTTGGGCCTTGCACATGCATGAGCCATTTCTTTAGTACACCAAATCTTATAGCAAAACTACTGTACAACAGTGGCCAAATATATATAATTAGCAAGTTTACTAATCAGATGCAAGGCAGGATGGTATCCATGTCCTCAGACATCTCACTCTGTCAATACTTTGCGCACTACCCTGCCCCCAGGCCAATCAGGGGCTGGGGGCAGAGAGAGTGCATGAGGTCTCTTCCTGCTAAGCGCCTACAGGGAACTGCCAACTGTTTTAAAACAGCTGGCATTTCTCTCTAGGAGGCTGGGCAGGAGAGGAAGGAGGAAGATTTTTCAGGGTCTCCCAACCCAGGCCAATCAAGATGTGTGGGGCGGGGGAAGCACAAGAAGCCTACTAGCACCCATCCTTCCACCTAAGGCCCCGCCCCTTCTGGGGTGGCCTGGAGCCATTTCAGAAATTTCCGAAGTGGCCCCCTTCTAAAAATTATTTCCCTCCCCGCCAAACAGTCCCACTTGGACAATAACACTTCCTCCTCTAGGCACTGAACACTTTGTCCTAATTAGGTCAGCTCCATTGTTACAGAGCAATGGAAAGGTCTTTGTGGTTCACAGATAGAGAGACTGTCTTATGTATTTAAGGCTCAGAACCACAGGTTTGAAGTTTAACCGGAAACCAAAAGAGGATGTGGAGGACAGGAATGGTGTGCTCTTGGCTTCCCGGCCTGCTGTGGAAGTAAGGCACCATGTTCTGAACAAGCTGGAGAATCTGCATTGTTCACTTTCAATCCCAAATGCAGTGAATTACAAAATCCAGCCTGGAAGTGTATCACATCAGGATTTAGTTGCCGATTTCTACCTTCATCTCACCAAAATTTCCTTCCATCAGTCACTTCTATTGTTATTTCTAAATTCTCTTTATCATTTGATTTTCTTGCCTCTGAACCAACGATGTTAAGAGGTGGGTAACTGACTAATCATGTAGTCGATACAGCTCTTAAGCCAGCTCCCCCGCAGCATCAGCTCCTGTTTTCCCACCCCCCTTGCTGCCTCTGATACAGAGGCAGCAAGAGGGGGAGCGAGTCGTCGAGTACATCCCTTCTCTGAACTTTTACTTTTTAATGTCTTCTAAATTCTTGCAGGAGCCTGAAGGGATTTAACCCAGTATCCATCAACACCTTCCATTCTGTACACAAATACTTATATTCTTGGAGTGAAGCAGGAAGCACATTTCAAGAATATTTCCAGGCTATTTTGTACAAGAGTTTGAGTGCCGCTTACTCACCATTGCTGGGTAGAAGAGGATAAAGACAGCAGATCCCAAGAAGGCTGTTGGTCCTAGAATAATGACATTATAAACCATGCCTAAGATGGCAATGATTGGGCCCCCAGCCAGCAAACTGCCAACTGCGGCAGCCTCAAACATTCTGTGCCCATCAGTGGAACAGATGTTTATGAGCTGAAAAACACAAACAACATAAGGGTTAGCCTCAGGAGGAGGTAATCAACAACTATCCTCTTTCTATGGTAATTTCCAACAGGGTACTGTAGCTCACCTCCCCCAGAGACTTCTCCTTGATATTCTTCAGCTTGAGAATTTTCTTGAACGCCATTGTCAGAATAGCCCCCCGCAGTCTGACCCCAGTGCGATAGTTTAAAGCCCAGGTAAGAGCCAAGGACCAGGAGCGCACTATTTCTGTCATTAAGATGCCAAAAATTAACAGCAAGCTGTACTGCAGGTTGGACTCACTTCGCTGTGTGTATTCCAAGAGATGTTTCACAACAAACGCCTACAGGAAAAAATGCAAACTCGCATGAACATCCCACTGTACCAGAGGCACCATGCAACAACTTATGTTAAGTTAGAAATGAGTGGGCTACTTTGTGTTTCAATGAGCAATTTGTATTATATGGAATCTTCTTTCTAGAAATAAAAAATGGTCAATTCACACAGTACTGTTACACAAAGCCCTGTTGAGAGCAAAGCAGAAAGTCAAATTTAGCAGTTATGGGGGGATTTAAATTTGGAACCTCATTCCTTGCAACAAACTTCTAATTCTTCATGTCTTCTAACTTAACATAAATCTGTCAGTTAAAAGAAATGCTTTATCATATAGAAAAAAGTTTAAAATAGTCTGCATATATATACACATTTGAACACATTAAAAGACATTCCTTTATGTGACATTAAGACCTTTTTTCTTTGCATCAAACGTGCTTATTTGATAAAAAGGAACAGTGTACCTACAGTTGTACTGGGGAAGAGTGAGAAGGACATTTGCAAAACATTCCTGAAAATAAACATCAGCAGTTTAATAGTAAAGAAAAGAACAAGCAGAAAACATAGGTAAGCGACACCAGACTATTTACAAAAAAAAAAAAAAAAAAAAAAAAAAAAAAAAAAAAAAAAAAAAGCTGTCCCACCACCCACCTCCCGCTTCCAAAAACAAAAATATTTTACCTCAGGAATCACATTTCAAACATCACCTGCCGAAAGATAGAGCAGCCCAAAGAACCTTCGATTCCCACCTCCAGTTGTGAGTTAGTCAACAGCATAGTATAGTATAATATATAAATAACATTCATCAGCAATATTAAATACTACCAACTGCGATATAACAGTCTTTTATTTAAAAACAATAAAGTGCCATGTTAAAATGGGCAACATCTCACAAACACTGTACAACAAGAGCATCGCATAAACATACAATCTGAACATACAAGATAATTATAAAAGGCTAATACCTAACAAACAGTCTAGCCTTTGACACAAACTAAGTTAAAACTACACACACAAAATTAAAGATACAAAACAGAACCGATATATGTTCACAAAGTCCGAGAAGAGAGTGAAACTTGCAGTACTAATCAGGCAGGCTCCAGGGATTCTGAAATTTGGTTTAAGAGGTATACTACAATAAGGCCTCACCGATTTTCTAAAGAAGGCTTTTCAACAAAGATGCTCAAAGACGTTGGTGTTTATACGATTAGATGTTGGTACTTTTATACAGAGCTGAGAATTACCTTTGCCCACAACACAACAAAATGTCAAAAATTTGAGAGATCAAAGAAATGATTTGGAAAGCCTTTCACAGTCAGTTGAAGTCCTCTTGGCTAAAATAGGTTTTGCAAATAAGAGTTCTGCATAGCGTGAGCAGGGAGGAAAAACAAAAAGGCACTACTTCAGCAAAGGTAACAGCAGCTACAACCCAGCACTGAACAACAGATAAAAATGGAGGCTGAATGCATTTGTCCTGAAGTGGCTGATTCTGTATCCCAGAACCAAGGAAACATGCTGTATATAGTTTTGCTTATTCATTTTCGAAGTGTGAATTAAAGCCAGATGTCCATCAGGTTCTGAAAGGGCTCATCGAGAAATTTACTCACTAGTCCCTGATCAAATGTGAGGAGCTCACATTCACAGAACTACTGTATTCCAGATTTTTCCTCACTTATATATAGCTTTACATCAACTGTTTTGGCCTCAACTGCATAGTTGGTTTGCAGTTACTAATGAGAAGATTATTGGCGTCTTTTCGCGTACTCAATCCAACATACACAACTGAGTCACTGAGTAGTGGGAGTCAAAAAGCCCCCTTTTTCCTCACGAGCTGTAACTCAGCATGATCGCAGCGCAGCAAGCATTTTCTCGCACCCCCACAGCACTGCTGAAAGTCTCCAAGGGAAGGTGTGTAAAGATAGCAGATGTTTCCTGGGGTCTCTTTCCTCCCAAAACCTTTTAAGTGCAATTTTTCAGCACTGTTCTATAGAATCAGCATCTCCCGTGATGAGATAAAAGACAATGCTTATATTATACCAAAAAAATAAAAATTTCAAAGAAAAAAGAGAGGAAACAGCAGATTAAAGAATTTGAAAGAGGAAAAAGAAGAAGTCACAATATTTAGCATTTACATTTCAAAACATTCCATTTGAAGAAGATTAATGGAAAAAAACAGCAAAGTTCTTTACAAAATTAGAGACACAGCTTTAAAAATTACATTTAAACTAATGGGGTACTTCTGCGATTGTTACCATAGTAGTTCGTATTAGCTGCTTGGCTGTCTTAAGCATTCCCATTGAATAAACATTACCTTACCTTTACTCTTGGCGTTGGATTCTGCCCAGCTTGACTGTCTCATTCTGATCGCAGAATACAGCCATCCTGAAAATTCTAAAGAACAGCTTCTGTCATTGGTTCCACTACAGAGAAAGATGCCCCACCCACATCCAGTATCTGACAGCACAAAGCAAGCTGCAACTGGAGCGGAACTAGAAGAGTGGGAAACTTACCTCAAACAGCTTACCACTCCCCCCTCCAATAACTGTCTGAACGATCAAGCTGTACTCCACTAAGATAGCAAGTTTCCCCATCTCCCAAACAGGAAGGCTAGTTCTGAGCAAACATACAAATTGTTCAGGCCTGGAGTTAAACTGATTTTGTTTAGTAAATTAGAAATAGTCTTTGCTCCTCCCCCCTGTTCTGAACATAAAAGATTTAGCAGCTGGTTAAATGGCAGCAATTATATCAATTGGAGATAAAAGGTATCTCGCTTGCACTGCTGCATTCTGATGGTTATTACAAGGTATTCTGACACAGGAAAATAAGCCCGAATAGGCTACAAAGTTAGAATGTGCCAGATGTGCAGGATTCCTGAAGGAGCTCTTGGCTAGCATGAAGCCCAATTATGAAATCCAATAAGCACCCCCACCAGTTATAACCATCACAGTGCTTATTAGTGAGACCACCACTATGCCATTTCCACTCCCATTCCAATGTCATGGAAGTTCAATTCAGAATTTTCAAGTTTGGGAAAAGTTTAACTCCATTTTGGTAATTTTCACCAATACAAGTGGACAAGCTAAGTGCTTTTTCCAAATCTCCCTTCTCATTTCAATGAGACTGAAAGGGTGTATCAGCACAAAAAAGCACTGATACTTCAGAGGAGACAGCACAGGTGTATCACCAACATTTTCCATTTTAAAAAGCAGTGGGGAGGGTGGTAAAGTCTCATCTTTCATTCCAATTGATGGAACCCAAAAGGGCACTTCCCTCATTAGAGAGCAGTCCAATTTTGACTAGATACAGGCAAATGTTCAAAGGATAACTTTAAAGCATCCAATTTGAGCATGAATTGGAACCTAAAAACCCAAACTATTGAAGTTTTTTTCCATTCAGTAGTTTGGTTCTGACAAATAGACAAAATTATACTAAAGAAATTAGGGACAACCCTGCTGTAAGTTCTCTGCTAAAGACAAGAGCAGCTACTGGGCCCTGTAGTGAAACAATGACAGAAGCTCTTCTTGGGAGAACCTAGTTCTGTTAAAACTTTAATATTTCAACATTTTGATAATTAACAGTGCACCCAACAGGTTGTTCAAGTGTTTCATAATTAGCACAGGTTATTATCATTTATTATTGTGAAACAAGACCAAGGAAACAATTATTGTTATTCCTATTACAAGAAACAAAGCAAACTTTTAAAAGGTTCAAAAAGCAAGAAAAACATTTTAGAAGACTTTTTACCTAATACACCCCCGTTGTACTTACCGAAGTAATGAACCTCCATCTTAACAGCACACTGAAACATGTACTACAAGCAGTAATACTGCTCCTACTCCTCAAGGGAAATTTGTAGAGAATAAATTTAGTCAAGATCGCAACTGTAAATCTGCACAAAATGTGCAACAAACAGGTGACAAGAAAATGATGTGAATGTCAAGTCCCCTATGTTGTATCTTCATTACTAACTAGTGGAAGCAGCAGCAGTTCCCAGTGGCAGTTCCATATTCTAATATTTCTAAACATAACCCGCCTGATTAATCCTTGTAGCACTGATAACGAAGTTTGCAGACTTCTCCTGAGCCCCGTCTCCTTTTGTTTTTAAATGAGTGTGAACCATTAAGTTTAATTTCTTGCAGACTGCACTATTAATTCCAATGCTCTACAAAGTGATGTCCTGCCTACTCAAATGTTACCTCCAAAATAATTATTACCAATCTCAAAGCAAAAAACTTTAGGAGAGAGTTTAGTGCAATGTGATCACACCAGTTAAGGAGGAACTTTAAGCTACACTCGAAACCACAGAGAAAAGCCAAGTGTGTTTTTTCTTCAGGACACCTAAATCTGCTACCTCGCCAGAAACCTGGTCCCACCATTCAGTAAGTGATCCACCAGCTGGATAAAAGCTATCTTGGATTGCTGCTTCGTTCTGGAAATCATCATCTTCTTTCAGCAAACTGTAAGGACCAATATTTCTAACTAATCATAATGTGTCAGTGACCCTGTAATGAAATCTTAACATGTTAGAGCTGGCCATGGGATGGAGCCCTCTGTGGTGGTTATAAAAAGGATGGCTATTACTTACTGGTCCACTGAAGCCTGCAAGCTGAGTGATCATCAGACACACTATGGAAATTATGAGCCTGGTGCGGCAGAAGATCCATACAACCTTCCGGAGAGAAGCATCTTCGGGTCCTGTTTCTTTCAGTTCTTCCTGCCATAACCTCTCTAACCTAAAAGAAGCACAAACTAAGGATGTAAGAGTTTAATCAGGTTAGCAGCCATATGAAGAGTTTAAGAGCCAGGGTGGCCCCAGGAGCTAGGGCAGCCCCAAGAGCCCCACAGGGCCAGGAGCTGCGGCAGTCCCTGCGGGGGGGGGGGGGGGGGGGGAGGCCGGGCGGGGGGGCGCAGTTAACCATGTAACCAATAGAAATTCTATCAGTTACACGGTTAATAATTTTTTACATTCCTAGCACAAGCCATGCTGTTAGGAATCTCCTTACAGGACAAAAAGTGTCATTTCAAAGGTTCTTCTCTGGTAAATCTCCTATCACACATGGCTGAACATCACAAATCCTCAAGTATCACAACATGCATAGCATCTTCTACACAACCAGGGAAAATAGTTATATCCTGAATCTCCATACAAAGAGGCAGAGCAGAACTGAAAAAGTTAAGAGTATTTTTTTTACTTTACCCGGAGTCCTATTAGGAATCTCATCACTTCCCCCCTTTTTCTACTCTATCATGCAATAAAACTTTGGACTAAATCTTATAGCTCTTGCCCGGAGTAAATAGCCCACTGGTCACAACAATTTAGCCTAAATGCAGGATTTGGCCTATAAATCAGACTATATTCAGTTAGTATCAATGTTTCTCATCATTAATTCACAGCATTGCATGTTCAGAATCTGGGCTGAGACACACTGCGCTTGTTTAAAAACACAAAGGCTGTGTCTAGACTGGCAAGTTTTTCCACAAAAGCAGCTGCTTTTGCGGAAAAACTTGCCAGCTGTCTACACTGGCTGCTTGAATTTCCGCAAGAACACTGACGATCTCATGTAAGAAATCAGCACTTCTTGTGGAAATACTATGCTGCTCCCGTGCGGGCAAAAGTCCTTTTGCACAAAGCTTTTGCGCAAAAGGGCCAGTGTAGACAGCTCAGATTTGTTTTCCGCAAAAAAGCCCCGATCGCAAAAATGGCAATCGGGGCTTTTTTGCACAAAAGCGCGTCTAGATTGGCACAGACGCTTTTCCACAAAAAGTGCTTTTGCAAAAAAGCGCCCGTGCCAATCTAGACGCTCTTTTCTGCAAATCCTTTTAATGGACAACTTCTCGGTTAAAAGCATTTGCGGAAAATCAGGCCAGTCTAGACGTAGCCAAATAGTTCTGATAAGGAGCAAAAATGGGAAAATGGTTATAAAAGGCCCTGGGGGACAAAACCAGCTCAGTAACAGCAGCGTGATCCCACAGTAAGGCTGAGATTAGGGATGTTAAATTGCAGGTAATAAGCTAATCAATTATTCAATTAGTCGATAAGGGGAGGGGGAACTGCAGAGACACAGCAGGGATAGCTCCAGGCCCAGGAGCTAACCCCACTGTGGCTCTTAATACATTTAAAAAGCAGAAGTGCAGGGGCGGGTGGTGGTGAAATTGGTTCCCGCAGCTGATTCCCGGCTCTCAACTGGTCCCCCGCTATGCCTCTTCCTCCCCTGCCCCTGCAGAAACAGTGCTGGGGAGAACCAGCTTTTAAGCCGGTTTCCCCCCCAACACTGGCTCCTGCTCCCCCCCCTTGCTCCCTCTCTCTGATAAGGCAGCAGTGGGCCGTAGGAAAAGACATCGAGAAGAGCAGGATAAGGCTCGACGTGAATGGGAAAGGCAGAAAGAGGGAGGGGGAAGCAAGTAGTTGAATCACTAGTCAACTACCCTATAAGTATATGCTTATCAGGTAGTCGACTAGTCACTTACATCCCTAGCTGAAACACCAGCGTATCTCAAAAGAAACTGGAGCAAGAAGGATAAATAAGACTAAGATCCCTTCCTCTTAAACCCTTTCTATTCGACATGCTTTTCCAATGCCAGTAAGAGGGAGGGGGAAGCAAGTAGTTGAATCACTAGTCAACTACCCTATAAGTATATGCTTATCAGGTAGTCGACTAGTCACTTACATCCCTAGCTGAAACACCAGCGTATCTCAAAAGAAACTGGAGCAAGAAGGATAAATAAGACTAAGATCCCTTCCTCTTAAACCCTTTCTATTCGACATGCTTTTCCAATGCCAGTTCATGCAAATATCTGCAAAAACACCAGGCTAGAGAATGTGTCAGCCTGCAAAAGGAGGGAGTACAGGGGAAAGAATATGGAACAAGAGAGCTTACCTTCTACAGTTAACATCTGAAGACTCATGCTTTGACAAAGACCACACATCATCCATAAAAAGCTCTCCTTTCTTGTATGCTGTACGAGCCAGAGGAGTGAGCCATGAAAAAGTCATGCAGGAGAAAAGTCCAGCATTGTCTACTGGATGCTGGTGTCTAAAGAGAGAGAAAAAACTGCAATATCCTTCAAGAAAAACAAAATCCCTTCCCATTACAAGTATCAAGAGAATTTTGCATAGGGCACACAAAGTAATACTTGCTAAACACATTTTCAAAGAGGACACTTCAGCTTTAACCAACAAATATAAGAGCTGCAATCGCACCGACACACAATTTTCAAGAAGGCTGTGGTTTCCAAATCAGTTCTTCCTTAGCACAAGGTCTTACTTGGAAGTAGTCCGTATGGGTTTTAGCAAGCTCAAGCCATGGTGATATTTGCCCTTGTGATGCTCCTCGTCCAACATTCTCAGGTGGGAATGCATGGAGCTGTCCAGCGGAAGGCCTTCTGCCCTTGCTGCTGTCTCCAAGGCATCTTGACATTCCACCTTTTTACAAACGAAACAGTGAAGTCAGAAATGTAAGGTGATTATGGGACTCTTGAAAGTCAATCATTTCTGTCTCCAGCAATTCATCATCTGTTAGTGCAGTCATTGCAGCTCAAGACCACTGGGGACAAAGGGAGAGCTTGGGAGTCACAAACCAACACAGGATTCCCATATAGTCTAGTTCTGCTTTAGCTCCCTGGATTTCTAGGATAGTGCAATTCAAACAATAGCATGGTAGCCATATGTTTTGGGCTTCAGAGGATGGAGAACATAGACTTGCCAGATTAGCTCAGAACAGTGGTCTGTCCTGTCCTGTGTCTGGTCTCTGGACCAGTACTAAATACTCATGATGGACAACTATGCAACAGCATGCCCAATGGAAAGGACTCTTCCAAAGTTCAGGCAGTTGGTTATTGGCTTACAGCCTATAACATGAGGGCTAGCCTACCTTATTAACTTGTATCCTACTTAGCGTAACTCAGTATCTGTATGCATATGCAGGGCTAATCCTTTTCAGAATCCTATTAAGTTCCATGTGTTTCAAAAATTCCTTGCAATAGTTCAACAGGTTAAATGGAAATACTTTTTCACACAATGTATATTTATTACTTACAAAATATTGCCATTTACAGTCTCATAACACAGATCAGGGCTATCCAATGAAAGGCAAGGGTACTGAAGGATATATTGCTAAAATGTACACTAACTCCCAAGGCTCAGTACTGCTCCCACTAACTTTAATTGGAAGCAAGAAAAAGCTCATTTACATGAAAAAACCTCATAACGAAGTAATCTAGGGTGTGTCCAGACTACAGGGTTTTGTCGACAAAAGTGGATTTTTGTCGACAAAACTATATCTGCATTTACACTGCCCTCTGAGTTCTGTCGACATAACATCGACAGAACTCAGTTTTGTCGACGGCGGTAAATCTCATTCTACGAGGAATAACGCCTTTTGTCAACAGAGTTCTGTTGCGAGAAGGCATTATTGCATCTTCACTGTCCTTTGCATCTACACTGTCATGTCGACAAAGCAGCTTGCTTTGTCGACAGAACTGGCTGTAATCTAGATGCTTTTTGTCGACAGATGCTTTGTTGACAGTATCTGTCTACAAAACTTCTATCGACAAAAGCCTGTAGTCTAGACATACCCCTAGTTCTTAGACCAGGATGCTTTGTACAGAATCCTGACTTTAAAACCTTTACCACTTTTCACACAAACAACCCACCCACTTCCCCATTAACTGCTTGATCAATGGTGAGATTATTCTACTTCTTTGAAAATATCAGCTGTAGCTAGGTAGAAGTCTCCTGAAACAGGATATCCTCTGGGTTAATGGTCCTACAAGGCCATGAACAACAAGCATTTGATTCCCATTCTCTCTGGTTATATAACTCTTAGATATGTTGATATTTGTCAGATTCAAGCTCATAAGCCAAGAACATGCAAGCATTACATTAGTGGGTCTCCATATAACCCCAACACATAAAAGAGAGACAAGGACAATACATTCAGAGGGGGAAAAAAAATTCACCCTTCATGTATTTAAATAGCACCCCAAAGTAGGTCAGGCCCATTGCAGAAAGCCTTTCGGAAATACATGGTCCCTCCCCCAAAGAGCGTTCCATCTTGCATCTAAGCACGCTGCCCTCTCGGACAGAAGGTAGCTAACAGCAGAGAGTCTGAGAAGAGGACAGAGGAAGGTTATAGCAAGATGAATGTGTGGTGACTCAGGCATATGCACAAACTGAAGGCTGAGTGAAAAGTTTTATTTAATATAATGCAACTGACTCACTTCTTGTGGGCAACACCTTCCTACTAAACCTACCCAAATCAACATTCACTCTTCATTTAACAAGTAACAGCCAAGATCGGTTAGACCCTCCTTACTGCTGCATCCAGCAAGTTATTTTCCCCAAATATATCAGCACAGATCTGTGTCATTTTCATGTCATGTGGAGCATAAATAGCACTATGCACAGAAGCTTTCCTTGATACCACAACCCACCACACAGACACCCCAGCACCAGCAGCTCTGCACTTACCTAACCAGAGCTGATTTTTCAGCACCCTCCCAGGGCCTGAACTTCTGCCCACACCATAGAACCCGATACCACACTAACATGTGGCGAACCAAATAAACTATTTTGCTGATGCTGCCACAAATATTTTTTTCCACAAAGATGACACCACCTGCTACTGACACATCCCACCAACAGTCATAAGGAAACAGAGTCATATCCCTATGAAACCATACACTTAAGCATTACACTGATTGCTTCAGGGTGGGGCTGGGGGGTCGCCTGTCTGTGAAATCCTTAAACATTATATCCATTGCATTCTCTCGCCACTCAAAGGACTGCTACACAGTCCTTGGAATAATTCAACCGCCAGACAAAGGGGGCGCTATTGTAGTCTTCAAATGTGATGACTGTCAACAAGGCCAACTGACAACTCTCCACCACCACCCCTCCTATAAAAAGCTCAGAAAAACTCCCCCAGAGCACAATACGCTCAAGAACCTACGGATATAATCAAATCTTTCCCCAAACACCTGGAAGAGAAATGCCACAACCTCATTCCCCCATAAGTCCCAAAGTCTTCTACTTGCTTCCCAAGATCTGCAGACAGGACAACCCAAGCAGATGCATTACCTACCACAACGCTGTTACTGAATGAATATCAGGATGCACAGAAACCATCCTCAAACCACTGATCAGCTTCTTCCAGAACAGTTGACTTCCTCCAGAAACAACCTCCATCAGAAATTTTTTGCCACCGTGGATACCATGTCCCTTATGCACCAACATCCCCTACCATGAGGTCATCGCTGTCTGCTTCAAATATCTACAGGACAACAGACAAGACTCAGATATTCACCCCAAACTTTGCCAAACTCATCCATGTCATTCTACCATTAACAATTTTACATTCAACAGCCACCATTTGGTCTAATCCATGGCAGATCCCCAATACATCAACTTCTTTACGAGTCCTTTCAAGGAAGAATTTCTGAACAAATGCACCACAAAACAAATGATACATGCCAATGACATACTCATCTTTGGGACTCCCTCAAATTTCCACCACAACTTCAATAACCAACATTCATCCACCCAACTTTCTCTAGATCACTCCCACACACACCAGCATCAACTTCTTGGACATCACAATCAACTCCAGCTATATACAAGACAAGACATTTGCCAGTCACCATGCTTACCGTCACAGACCTAGTAACCTCCCAAATGCACAAAGAAATCTTATCTACACCCAGGCACTCAGATACTACAGAATATGCTCCAAGAAGAATATCCATGGTATACACCTTAACACACTTACAACTGCTCTCATTAAACAGGGATGCCCCACCAGACAAGTAGACCCCATCATGGAACAGGTCACCCTAAGACCCCGAGGGAACCTACTCCAATAGAGAATAAAAAAACCTCACCAGCCAGACATCCCTAGTTGTCACCTACGGCCCCAAACTGAAATCCAAATGAGGTATCATTAAACTATTACAAACCAAACTCAATGGGAAGCCTCTTTCTGAAATAAATCTTTCCCAAACCCCCTTTCTGGCATTCAAGCAATTCCCCAAACTCTTAAGCTTGTCATCAGAAGAAAACTCCTCACAGATCAAGACACGCCAACTCAAACCCCACACCCTGCCAGAGTAGATGCAAACCCTGCAGAATGATCAGCATGGTCTGTGAATCACCACTCTTCACAAAATCCATGGGTCCTGCAGATGATCACAATATGTAGTGCACCCCAGTCAGCGCCCAAGATCCCAACAACAACTATGTCAGTGTAACGACACACTCCCTGCACTCCTGAATGAACTTGCACAGAAATGATAAATCACAAGTGACAAAACACACCATATTAACCAGGGGTAAACACTTTCTGCAAAACAATCACTCCCTATTTGTTCTTGCAATTCTTGTCCCAAAGAAAACCTGCAAGTTACCTTCAAAAGACAAGTCTGGGAGCTTAAATTCAGAACTTAGCTACACGCTAAAAGTCACAGACTCAATAAAGATAAGTACTTATGGCTCATTACAACAATCAAACTCCATCTGAAATAGGGATGTAAGGGAGTAGTTGACTAACCGATAAGCCTAGGCTTAAGCTGACTTTTCGACCACTTGCATTCCCTCCCCGCCACTACCTCTGTAACCAAGGTGCAGGGAAGGAAGGAGAAGGAGTCAGTGCTGGGGGGAGCTGGCTTTTAAAATCTGGTTCCCCTCAGCACCATCTCTGTGGTGCCACCTTCCCCACCCTGTGCTGCTGCTGCTGCTTCTACAAGAGGCAGCAGTGCAGGGGGGGCAAGGGAAGCTGCAGCAAAGCAGCCTCTGTCTGCAGAGGGCCCAAGCTCACTGCGTGCAGAGGCTGTTTTGTGGCAGCCTCTGTTCACAGCCAGCCCTGGCCCGCAGGAGGTCCCAGGTCTGTGCTGGGACCCCCCCCCCCCCTCCGGACAGGAGCTGCTGGACCCGGCCCGAGCTGGGACTGAGCAAGTCTGGCTCAATCCTGGTTCGCGCTGAGCCCTGGACCTACCCCCTCTGCAATTAAACTGCAGAGCTGCAGCAGGGGGTAGCTCCCAGACCCGGTGCGAGCTAGGACTGAGGTTTCCTCCCTTAACTAATAATGTAGTCAATAGAAATTCTATCAACTACACAAATAGCTAATTTCTCACCTCCTAAAATCCCTAATCTAAAGAAGTGGGTTTTGCCTGCGAAAGCTCACGCTACTACTTTTTCCTTCCCCTCTCTCCCTTCTCCCCTATTTATTTTGGGTCTGCACATCCTAAACTCATAACTCCAGTCATCTGAAGAAGTGGGCTGTGCCCATGAAAGCTTATGTTTTGTGAGTCTATGAAGTGCTACCAGATCTTTTGTTGTTTAAGTTTATCCTGTACAGACTAACTCGGCTACCCCCTGAAGCTTCTGATACTACTTATATATTTTTGTTAGTCTAAGGTGCTACAGGACCA